CTCTCCCTTCCTCTCTGAAATCAATAAAAAAAATATTTAAAAAAAATAAAATAAAAAGAAGGGAGGCAAAGAGTCCGATGGATGGAAACGCTGCGGAGTCCTGACTCAGAGGAGGTGACGCGTGGAATCCGCGGACGGACAGCCGAGCGCGTGGAGACGGGACCCTCACCGAGCTGTTGGGGGGATGGGGGGGGGCGGGGGCGAGGCCCGCCTCCCAGAAACGGGAGTGTCAGGGCCGAACCTGGAAGCCGGCACAGCAGGCACGGGCTCTACAGGTGCCTTTCTCTCCGGCCGCCAGCACGGGGTCGCTGGGGCCATCGACCCGGGATTGCGACACCTCAGCTCTTAGGGGGAAAGAAACGTGTGAAGGAGCCACGGGAGGCAGTCGAGAAAGTATGGGACTTTCGATGATGGAAAAGGGGGGAAAACAGTCACCCGGGAGAGGCTCATTTCTCCTGCCTTTTTTTTTTTAATCCTCATCCGAGGATGTTTTTTTGCATTGAGTGTTAGAGAGAGCGGGAGGGAGAGGGAGAGACAGAGGGAAAAATGATGGGAGAGAAACACGTCGATCGCTTGCCTCCCGCACGAGCCCCGACCAGGGCCGGGAACTGCAACCCGGGCATGTGCCCTCAAACGGAATCGAACCCGGGACCCCTCGGTCCGCAGGCCGACGCTCTATCCACTGAGCCAGACCGGCCAGGGCAGGCTATTCAGTTTTTTTTTAAAAAAAGGTTTTAAAACGAGGGACATAAACTGAGTTCAACGTGCCAGAGGTGGTATTACTGGAGCTCGCATATCACTCAGCCGCCTTAATTGCTTCATAAACCCCAGGTCTTATCTGAGATTTGGAAACATTTTACTCAGCACGCCACTGGCACGGAGCTGGCTTTTTTGTTTGTTTGAAATCGAACAGTAAGAGACGGAATAAGTAAAATAGAGAACAGAACATGCAGTGGGATGGCCTGGAGCCATCGGAACTGAGTTGGCTTAAAAACAAAACAATTAAGTTGTAGAGATTTGAGGGGGAGGCCGGCCAGTGTGGCTCAGTGGTTGAGCATCAAACTATGAACCAGGAGGTCAGGGTTCGAGTCCCGGTCAGGGCACAGGCCCGGGTTGCGGGCTCGATCCCCGGTGGGGGGCGTGCAGGAGGCAGCTGATCCATGATTCTCTCTCATCACTGATGTTTCTATCTCTCGCTCTCTCCCTCTCCCTTCCTCTCTGAAATCAGTAAAAACATATATTTATCTTTTTTAAGTTTTTAAATGGATGTATGTATTCTTTTAACCCTCACCCGAGGATATTTTTCCATTGATCTTTTAGGGAGAGTGGAAGCAAGAGGGAAAGACAGAGAGAGATAGAAACACATCGATTTGTTGTCTCCTGCACGAGCCCTGAACTAGGCCTAGGCTGGGGAGGAGCCTTCAACCGAGGTACGTGCCCTGGACCGGAATCGAACCCGGGACCCTTCCGTCCGCAGGCCGACGCTCTATCCACTGAGCCACACCGGCCAGGGCAATAAAAAAATATCTTGACAAAACGATGAAAATTGTGAAGTGTGTGTCATGTGCATTTTTACCTTCATTTAAAAAAAATGAAAAGGGCTAGAGACACCGTAGGGAAAGCCATGCGCGAGCCCCGCAGGCCGACGCTCTATCCACTGAGCCACACCGGCCCAGGCAATAAAAAAAATATTTTGACAAAATGATGAAAACTGTGAAGTGTGTGTCATGTGCATTTTTACCTTCATTTTAAAAAAATGAAAAGGGCTAGAGACACCGTGGGGAAAGCCATGCGGGAGCGGGACGGGGCGGCCGCACGGGGAGAGGAACGCCGCGCCTCTGACCTTGCCTCCCCGGGCTGCGGACCTGCGACGGCATGTCCTGGATCTCCAGCGTCCACTCCCCCTCGGCCTTCTCTCCCCAGCTGTGCACCGTCATGAACTCCCAGTTGGAAAACCCTTCGTTGGAGTGGTCGTGAAGGGGCAGGGAAGCCCCTGGCTGCTTTCCCACCCTTGTTTTTATTTTTATTTTTTAAATATTTTTATTGATTTCAGAGAGGAAAAGAGAGGGGGAGAGAGAGGTACATCAATGATGGGAGAGAATCATCCATCAGCTGCCTCCTGCACGCCCCCTACTGGGGATCAAGCCTGCAACCCGGGCCTGTGCCCTGACCGAGAATCGAACTCGGGACCCTTCAGTCCGCAGGCTGGCGCTCTATCCACTGAGCCAAACCAGTCAGGACTAAAAATACATATTTTTTAAAACATGTTGTGTACGACGTAAGATTCGATTCTCGGTTGGAGCGGGTGGGCGGGGATTTCTCCTAACATCCCCTGTAGGAAGATGCTTATCCGGGGAGCCTCCCTGGCCCGGCAAAGAGTGAGGGCAGGGGGCACCCCCTCTTCCTTCTAAGAAGCGGCAAAAGGCGGACTGGGTTCCCCACGCGATGCCGGGCGCAATCCAAGGCCCGGGGCACAGAACAGACGGCCTTTGAAGGGCTGTGGGACTCAGGGGTGCAAACTCACCCTCCGGGAAAGAGAACACCCGGCAGGCAGAGCGCGCTGCCGACTGGGGCGAGATGTGGGGCCCAGGCCAAGGCCACGGAGCCGACAATCACACGATCTGCCTTGGGGGCCGGGGGCGGGCTGCCAACGCTCAGGGCTCACACGGCTGCCAAGTGGCCTCAAGCGGGTGGACAGCAGCGCCTCCCACAGGGGGGTGCACCGGGGCACCCCAGGACCCGCCCTCTAAGAATCCGGGGGCTCAAACGCTGGGGCCCTGGAAGGTTCTCGAAGGTCAGGCAGGCGACGAGAGCCGGACGGAAGGGCAGCCAGGAGCCTGTGCCAGGAATCGCGCCCGGCATTGCCGTCTATCAGGGGTGGGGTGGGGTGGGGGGGCCTTTCTTCTGCCAAGGGCCATCGGGATATTAATAACATCATCACTCGCGGGCCACACACAATCACCCACTTAAACATTAGCCTGCTCGCCCGGCTGGTGTGGCTCAGTGGATTGAGCGTCGACCTATGAACCAGGAGGTCAGGGTTCGATTCCCAGTCAGGGCACAGGCCCCGGTTGCAGGCTCGATCCCCGCTAGGGGCGTGCAGGAGGCAGGCGATCCATGATTCCCTCTCCTCATTGGTGTTTCTCTCTCTCTCACCCTCTCACTTCCTCTCTGAAATCAATAAAATATGTGTTTAAAAAAAAGAAGAAGAAGAAAGGCAGGAGCCGGGCAGAGGTCTTGGAGAAGACTTGGGCGGGGCAGTTGTGCAGGGCTGAAAAGCTGGGCCCTTCCTTGCCCTGAGCTTATCCTCCCAGGACTCAGCCTTCTCCTCTGGGGCACGGCTGCTCATCTCCTGCGCTCTCATAACATGTAGCCTAAGTGTCCTCTAGGACGGTTTTGGGACGCCTCCTCCTGGGCTGGGAGCCCCTTGAGAGCAAGGGCCAAGCCTGACTCACTTTTATTTCTCCTAGTGCTAACCTCAGCCTCCAAGAACCTCAGTCAACACTGTTGCTGTTGAATCACTGGGGGATTGGGTGGTGGGTTTAAGGGAGACACCTTAGAGCCAGGCTGGCCTTACCTCTTGGCCAACAGCTGGGACTTGGTCCCCGAGGGGGAGATGAGGTGGATCTGCAGGTCCCCGCGGCGCGGGTGGGAGATGGAGATGCGGGCCACCACGTGCTCCAGGTAGCCCACCCGCTGGTCCGAGTGGTCGGCGCAGGCGGTGGTCAGGGCCGTGGTCCGCAGCGTCTGCACCACGGGGATGCTCCTGGGGGGGGAGGGGGAGCTCCAGGTCACCCACGAGGGTGATGGGTGCCAGGTGTGGCCTCTGGGGTTCCCCCCACTGCGGGGGGAGCAGCTTCGGCCTCCCGTATGGGACACTCAGATGTTGCTGCCGGAGTGAGACCTCCGGCCCAGAAGATAGTTGTTCTGGGAGGTGCTTAGAGAGGTTGAAGGAACGGCTTCTCGCCCGGCCGGGGTGGCTCAGTCGGCTGGAGCATCGTCCCGGGCACCAAAGGGTCATGGGTTCGATTCCCGGTCAGGGCGCATGCCCGGGTTGCGGGTTTGATCCCCAGTTGGGAGGCAACCGATCCATGTTTCTCACTCTCTCTCTCTCTCTCTCTTCCTCTCCTTTCTTCTCTCTCTAAAATGGAAATGTAGGTGAGAATTAAAAAAAAAGAATGGATCCTGGCCAGTGTGGCTCAGTGGTTGAGCATCGACCTATGAGCCAGGAGGTCACGGTTCGATTCCCGGTCAGGGCACATGCCCGGGTTGCGGGCTCGATCCCCAGTGCGGGGTGTGCGGGAGGCAGCCGGTCCATGATTCCCTCTCCTCATGGATGTTTCTCTCTCTCCCTCTCCCTTCCTCTCTGAAATCAATACCAATATATTTAAAAATAGATTAAGAAAGAAGGGTCCTCTGGCTGCCCAGCCGCCCGTGGACACCCCCCCAAGGCTGGGCGGGCGCCGGGCCTGTTGTGGGGAACGCCGTTCCCGTGATGCCGACCTTCCTCTCGGGGGGAGGGAGGCGTGAAGCCAAGGTCGAGTGTCTCCCAGGAATTACATCGCTCGGCTCCGCGGGGCCTGAGTCATAAGAAACCCTCGGACACGGTCACAAACAGCGACGTCATTCCCCCCGAGACCGTAAACACGCGAACACATGACGTGTGTGCCTCGCGCGTGGGCTGGGGCGGCTGCTGGCTGGCGTGGGCTGCTCCCAAAGTTCACCGTGCGCCTGACCGGCCCGCAGGCCCCCCGCCGTGGCGGACGCAGGGCACAGGAGAACGCTCTGGAGGGTCCTGGAAGGTTCCATCCAGCCCTGCAGGGGCCTCGGGGGTAGGTCCCCCGGTAAAGACCTCCCCCCACCACCCTGTACTAAGACGGCAGCGTGGGTGTGCTGTGGGGAGGGGACTCTGTGCAGTCTCACCCACCGGTGTCGTCTCAGGAACACCCTACGCTTTCAAACTCCGAGCACATCTCTGGGTCCAAGAGCAAGATCAAGGCCAGGGTGGCTCAGTGGTTGAGCGTCGACTTACGAACCAGGAGGCCACGGTTCGATTCCCGGTCAGGGCACATGCCCGGGTTGCGGGCTCAGTCCCCAGTGGGGGGCGTGCAGGAGGCAGCCGATCCATGATTCTCTCTCATCACTGATGTTTCTCTCTCTCTCTCTCTCTCCCTCTCCCTTCCTCTCTGACATCAATAAAAATATGCATTTTTTTTTAAAAGGGTCCTAGCCAGTTTGGCCGAGTGGACAGAGCATGGGCCCTTGGACTGAAGGGTCCCGGGTTCAATTCCGGTCAAGGGCACGTACCTCGGTTGCAGGTTCGATTCCCAGCCCTGGTTGGGGCGCTTCGGGGGGAGGCAACCAATCGATGTGTGTGTCTCTCTCTCATCAATGTTTCTCTCTCTCTCTCTCTCTCTCTCTCTCTCTCTCTCTCCCCCTCCTCCCTTCCACTCTCTCTAAAATATCAAAACAAACAAAAGAAACCGTTCCTTCCGCAGCTTCACCGCCCAGGAGCGAAAGCGCGCGGCCCGCTGTCCTGTGAGTGCACACCTGCCCGGGGGACCTTGCAGCCGAGTCAGGGTCAGGGTCAGGGTCAGGGCCAGGCGCCTGGGGCTCCCCGTGGGGCCGGGCCTCACCTGGGCCTCTTGTCGGTGAAGGCGACGCAGGTGTGTTGCGAGGGCACCGCCGTCCACTTCTTCGCCTCCAGGACCAGGGCTTCCGCGTCCACCAGGCCGAACCCGTACAGATGGCTGACTGGAGAGACAGCCCTTCAGACCTGGCGCCCCTCCCCTCCGCCCCCCGACTCCCGCTTACGGAGGGCACCCGGCCCGTGACCCCCATGGCTCCGGGACAGACCACCTGGGCTGCTCAGGGCTGGAAGGATCCAACCGTCGATTGCTCCCAGGATCCTTTGCACTACTCAGTCTAAACACTCTACTCCTGCCCGGGCCAGTGTGGCTCAGTGGGAAGAGTGTCGGCCTGCGTATGGACGGAAGGGTCCCGGGTTCGATCCCTGGTTCAGGGCATGTACCTGGGTTGCAGGCTGGATCCCCACCCAGCCCTGGTCCCGGCGTGTGCGGGAGGCAACCCATCGATGTGTCTCTCTCACATCGATGTTTCTCTCTCCCTTCCACTTTCTCTAAAAATCAATGGGAAGATACCCTCACATGAGTTTTAACAACAACAACAAATAAAAATAATAAAAACTCTACTCCTTGCCCAGCCTGGGTGGCTCAGTGGTTGAGCGTCGACCTAGGAACCAG